TCATCATCATCATCATCATTAGCATCATCATCATCATCATCATCATCATCATCATCATCATCATCATCATCGTATCATCGTCATCATCATCACTATCATCATCATCGTCATCATCATCATCATCAGTATCATCCTCATCAGGAACATCATCAGCATCGGCATCGGCATCGGCATCGTCATCGGCATTATCAGCATCATCGTCATCGTCACCATTATCAGCAACAACGTCACCATCACCATCATGAACACCACCACCATCATCATAATCAGCAACATCATCATCAGCAGCATCTTCATTAACACAGCCATCATCATCATCATCACCATCACCATCACCATCACCATCATCATCATCATCATCATCATCATCATCATCGCAACGATCACCATCAGCACCATCATCATCATCAGCATCATCATCATCATCGTCATCATAAGCACCATCAGCATCAGCATCATCATCATGATCGTCATCATCAGCATCGTCATCCCCAGCACCATCATCATAATCACCATCAGCATCAGCATCTTCATCATCAGCATCAGCATCATCATCATCAGCAACATCATCATCACAATCATCGTCGTCGTCCTCGTCCGTAACATCATTCCAACTCCTCCTCCCCTTCTCCTTCCTCCTCGCCCTCGACCATCTCCCTGTTCTGTCCGTCCGCCTCTTCCCTTCCTCCCTTCCTCCCTTGCCTCCTCCTCCTCCTCCTCCATCCCTTTTCCTCCTCCTCCTCCTCCTCCTCCTCTTCCTCCTCCTCGTCCATCTCCTCCTCGTCCTCCTCCTCCTCGCCCTCCCTGCTCCATCCCTCCCTTCCCCCGCCTTCCTCCGTCCCCTCTCCCTCCTCCAAAGCCTCCCCCCCCGCTCCCGCCGTCCCCCCGCCATCACCGCCCGCCTGGGGCAGCTGCTGCGACGGGCGTTTCCTGCCGCCACCGTCGGGGGGGGCGGGGCCGAAAGGGCCGCCCCTCTGGCGTCCCGGGCGGGGGCCAAAGCCGACAACGACGACGACGACGCCTACGATTCCGACGCCGACACCGACGACGACGAACACGACGACGCCGACAACCACCATCACGACCGACGACCACGAAAACCACAGCCAGTGCCTCTCCGCGGCGCCGCGCAGGGGGGGGGGGGAGGAGGCGGGGGGCACAAGGGGCATTTAGGAAAATTCGGAGGCTTCTGAGGAAGCTTCCTAAAGGGCAATGACACTAAAATGTAAAGCGGTGGATAACACATAGATTTTTGTATCGTAGAGCGATGTGGACCAACGGTAACAACGAAATCATATGTAAAGCAAGCGCGGGGGGTGGCCACCCTTGAAGCAAACGCCCATGGACAGTTCCCTACACTCGCCTGTCTGCCATGTTACACATGCTGCAACCTAACACAATGCCGCCGTTCAATTATGGTGCTCAAGCGGGCCCGTTGAAGTTCGTTGGCCAAACCAACAACTAACCAACCTTGAATAAACAGGACTAGAAATGGCAACCAAATTCATCAACAAAAAATGCCAAGAGGAAGAAGTGAACTGATGGGCTTCGGCAAGGGGCCAGAGCGCCCCGTGGCGAAACAAACTTCAGCCAATGCCTCCAACAATAGCAGCAGACGCTTGAAAGTGGATAGTTAAGGCCTCTCAACTCACACGTTGCCTCTCGACCACAGCTCAGGAGAACAACTTCTCCTCAGAGTGGCTCGCAACGTCGCAACTTGCAAGTGTCCACAATCTGGTCACCCGTCGAGTTTGTCCTGGGTGGGGTCGTGGTAACTGGAGATTCGGACGGCCTTCTTGCTGCACTCCTCGCTCGTCCTCACTGTACGATAGACGTGAACAAGCTTGCCCTACATGGCTTCAAGGATGAGATCTCTGCCGATGCTACCTTTCGTCATGGAGTCCGTTCGCGTGCCACGGGTGTCGCTTCACAGCATGTCGGACAGATGTCTAGCGCGAAGCTAGTCCGCGAGCCACATCAAGCGGCCTGCCATGCTGTTCTCTGACGGCGGGCGCGCGCGGCCCATGGTCAGCGCTGGCCAAAGCCGACATGCTGTCTACGACCAACTCGGCCGGCACGGCGTACTTAACCTCCCTCCTCGATCCCTCAACCTCCAGATCTCGTCGGTGGAGGCGGGCCCTCAGACGATTTCGCGGAGCGCGAAGAGGCGCACCTGCGGCCCGTCTGCAACTCCACACGCGGTGAGCAGCTCGGAACCGAATGAAGATGGACATACGTAATTGTGCGATCGGCTCACAACGTCGAGCAGGTGGCAGAGATTTGTTTACGAGTACCGCGGCAATTGCCCATATGCATGTACACGGCACCTCTCGTGCCAGATCCTGTCTCCTCGTCGCAATTGAGGGGGCCGTCGCTGCGCGCGCAGATCTTGCAGGCGCGCTCCATCGCCGGGAGCGCGAGGCGCGCCTTGATCTCCTGCGCGGCCATAACAGCGGCGCTGAGCTACATGACGAGCCCGATGAGCAGCCTGTTCTTGGCTGCCTTCTACAGCGCGACGACGCAGACGGCAACGCGGCGTTGCGCGAGCAGCGCGTAGGAAGCAGCTCCAAAAGGGGGAGACAAACATATCGGGGAGTGGGCCCTCGGCCGGCTCGTCGGACTGCGGCGTGAACAAGTCAACGCGCCCGATGGGGATCAGCGCGGCCCGCTCTTCGAAGGGCCCGCGGCCCGGGGCCTGTCTGAGTCTGAGGGCGGCCGCGCTGCCGGGCGGCCAGGCGAAGTTGACCACCCCAGGCGCTTCGCCTGGCCCCTGCACCTCGGGAGACGCGATGCCCCGCAGGAGCGTCTGTCCCGCGCGAACGGCGACGCGCGCCCAGCCGGGGCGACGGTCCTCTGAAGACATATACATGCGCTGAGACGCCCACTTCGCCGCCCCGGCGAACGTCTCCTGCCGGCGCCATGTCGCGGAAGCCCCCTCGGCGCCAAATCTGGCACCGCATGGCCCTGGCGGTCTTGCGCCCCGACCCCTCCCCGCGCCCCCACTTGAACGCGCGCCCTGGGGCCATGGCGCTCCGAGCGCCCTCGAGAGGACGACGTTTGCAACGCTTTTGCTTGAGCCAGATCCTCGAGGATGGCGGCGGCCGCCTCCCTAGTCAGCCTCGACGCCGCCTACTTGGCCAAGGGATCGGCGTCGCGCTTGATCGCCTGGACAGACCCGCTCGCGCCGCGCCGACGCCCGCGACGCTGCGAAGACGGTGCCGACGCAGGCCCGCGCGCCCTGCAGTCTGCAGAACATTTCGGCGCCAAAGGGCTCCACCGCGGCCTTGCCTCTGGCAGGGCCCGCCGGAAGAACTGCGCCAAGGCGCGCCCAGCCTGGCACGTCCGTCGCGCTGAGTGG